CATATAATGGTTTAGAACCAGATCAGAGGCAGAATGCTGTGGGGGTCTCCAACCAAGTTTAGATCAAAGAGCAGCAGACAGATCCAGTGATGACATCTTTGGGTTTCAAAAGGGGAATTTCTTGAAAAATGTTAAATATTAAATTGCATCAGGGGGGAGGAGGGGACAAGGGAAGGTATTATATGCATACACTTCGTCTAGTGGCTACACCATTCCTTGTACTGGTCTGAGTCAGGAAACACTGAAGCTTTTCATGCTTTGTGCTGTCCAGTTGAAGGACATGGAGGAGGGGGCGGTCACAGACACATTTTGTTCAGGGTATCAGGTCCTCCACTACATAGTAGTCACTTTCCCTTTGCAATGAAAGTGATCCGTGCGGCGGCTCATTTTAGGATAGAGGTGAAGATTTTTTTTCTCCATTACAATCCTGCACAAGAAACATTTCTGCGTTACAAAACATGTGCAAATGTTCAGCATGTGCATCCTCCTCGATCTGCTGCCCCCTATTACTGAATCTCCATTCACATTTTTGTATGGATGCCAAGCCCTATCATTCAGCACTTTCAAATCAAAAGTCTGCAGCACGCCCTCCCATTCAACATTTCAGAAGTCTCCTTTTTTTTCATAGCGGCAGCTGAGCCACAGACACCATCATGGCAGACAAGACTTGTGAGCCGTACCCCCGGTACTTCCTGTCTATGGGAGTGAGGTCCTCCTAATAGCTGGCCTTGACATTTCTCAGGTCCTGCTCTGGAGGCTTTCCTGTCTTTTTAAGTGGAAATAGAATTGGCTGGATTAGCAGCCACGGTGGCGGAATGCATTTTACAATCTGGTCAGAGATTATTTCACCCAATATTGAAATGATACTTTGCATGCAATATATAATACATACATCCGACTTACATACGACTCCTACTTGCAAATGGGGGCTATTACTGTACAACAGGGGTAGTTGTAATGCTGCCGCGCTTGTGCCGATGAGGAGTGCCCGCCTTTTTGGGTCTGGTTCGTAGTACTGTACATACATTACAGGAAGTTGGCTCTTGTTAGACGTGTAGATGAGGGGTGCCCGCCTCTTCTTCCGGATCACTTATACTGCTGTCTGTATCCTCATTAGAAAGATTTAATCTCACTTCCTGTCCTTGAGACAACAGGAAGTGAAAGGAAATCTACAACTAGGAAGGGAAATTCACTCCTATAAGAGTTATCATGGGATAAAGGTGTCTCCACTGAAGCTTTATCACCAATCCTTGTTTCCACGACAACCCAAAATTGTCAAAATCCAATTATCACAGAGACAGAAGGTGAGGTGAAGTCTTCTGAACAGGGGCACACACAGTAAAACAGACTTTACAGGGGGTTAACCCTTCCCTATGCTATCCAAAACAAACAAACAAAAAAATTTGGCTGGAGTTACACTTAAAAAATGTACCTGTTCCAACTTACATACAAATTCAACTGAAGAACAAACCTACAGTCCCTATCCTGTATGTAACCCAGGGACTGCCTATAATGTACAGTGAGGAAAATAATGATTTGGTCCCCTGCAGATTCTGTAAGTTTGCCCTCTTATAAAGAAATTAAAGGTCTATAATTTTTATCATAGGTGTATTTTATATGATAGAGACAGAATATCAACCAAAAATCCAGAAAAATACATGATACAAATGTTATAAATTGCAGTTCAGTGAGTAAAATAAGTATTTGATCCCCTACCAACCAACAATAATTCTGGCTCCCACAGACTGGCTATGTGGTACACAGATTAGTCCTGTCACTTTAAGAAGGTGCTCCTAACGATAACTCGTTATGTATATAAAAGACACCTGTCCACAGAATCTCTTTCTTCCATTCAAACCTCACCACCATGGACAAGACCAAAGAGCTGTCAAAGGACATAAGGGAGAAGATTATAGACCTGCACAAGGCTGGAATGGGCTACAAGACCATCAGCGTGTAGGCGGGGTTCACTCTCGGGGTGTTGCGTGTGAGTTCCCTTTGGGTTGGCTTTGTGTAACCCCGTGTATGCAACACGACACCAGGCACCCCACGGTCAGGGACCTCGGCTCTGGCTTTGTGCAAACAACTCCCACACGTGTAGTACTGCGCACACAGGGCCCTCATGGCTTCCACCGCCTCTGCGGTATTCGGCGCTTCCTCCCCCGAAGGGAGAAAGGCCACCATGAAGGGCACCTATGGTCATGGAGTGGCCTTGCCAGTCTCCAGACCTTAATCCTATAGAAAATGTATGGAGGGAGCTGAAACTTCGAGTTGCCAAGCGACAGCCAAGAAACCTTCAGGATTTAGAGAAGATCTGTAAAGAAGAGTGGACCGGAATCCGTCCTGAGATGTGTGCAAACCTGGCAACCAACTACAAGAAACGTCTTACCTCTGTGCTTGCCAACAAGGGTTTCTCCACCAAGTACTAAGTCATGTTTTTTCTAGATTTTTGGTTGATATTCTTTCTCTATCATTTAAAAAACACCTATGATAAAAATTATAGACCTTTCATTTCTTTGTAAGTGAGCAAACTTACAAAATCTGCAGGGGATCAAATCATTATTTGCCACACTGTAAATGTGTGACCCCAACATTTTCATAAATTTAAGTCATCACTGTATTTAATTGCATTTCTTTCCCTTTAACGGCTTTCTATATGCTTTAGTGTTTACTGATTAACTTCAAGTTCATATAAAAGTTCTATTTTTTTAAAATCATTGGTACAGTACCAATAAATTCAGCAGTGCTCTATATGGTACATATACAATTTACATTACTTCCTGCCCCAGAAGAGCGTACAGCCTAAAGAACAAAAACACATATTATTATTATTATACAGGATTTATATGGAAGACATGACAATTACAATACAATTCAAGACAAGATGGTAAGGATATATTTCAACCCATCTGAGTGACAGGTGGTTAACTTCCCAGAATGTCTAAGGTTGTTGGAGGAAACAAGACATTTAGAAGTTACTCAAAATGATGGGGACAATACAGCATATGCAAATACTGCTCCTCCTGACCACACAATTGGTCCTTTACTGTGATGGGTGACCTCACTGACTAATAGAGAAGAACAGAGCTCCTTTCTGAAGTTAATTTTTATATAATAGAGCACCCCAAGGTTTTGGGGCTCCCAAGGTGCAATGCAAGATACTGTATGTGAAACAAGTTAACGTCACATATTTACATAAAGTATCTATCTATCTATCTATCTATCTATCTATCTATCTGTCTGTCTGTCTGCTCGCTACCTGCGAGGTAGTGAGCAGAATAGAAAAAAACATTTGAAAAATTATTTTTTTTAAATTCTTCCTCCTGCTGGTGATCCCTCGAGTGATAACTAAAGATCTATATAGGGGAATCAGGACCTCCTTCCTCCTACTGGTGATTCTTCTAGTGATAACTAAAGATCGATATAGTGGAATTAGGACCTCCTTCTTCCTGCTGGTCCCTCTAGTGATCTATACCTACTATGTTACCAGGAAACATAGTAGAGTAATGGCAGAAAAACACCATTTTGAAAGTCTGTCCCAAGCATTAACTACACTTTGGAATTCTTTTGTTAAAATAATATTTTCTAAGGTTAGCTTTGAACTTCCCTTCTGCTAGTTTGAGGTCATGTCTCTGACTTGTCTCTGTCATGTCCACGTGTTGTTGATCGTAGCTTCATATTGAAAATACGGCCTCCTGAACCTAATTTACACCCTTCGTGTATTTAAAGGTTTCAGTCATGTCCCCCTTTTTTTTTAATGTACAACAATCCATCCGCCAGAATTAGCGAAGCGCACTTTCCCTATCGTTTCCTCACAGGCAGAGTGCATTTGGTATCACTCCGCCTGTGACAGGAGCTGGCGCTATAGAGGAAGCATCGGCTTATGTGGCTCTGCTCCCTCCGCTGCTGCCTCGCTTCCTCTAGCGCTGGCTGATTCTCTCCCGCGGCTCTTCAAGTTCCCCCTTATGCCACCACCGGCTCTCGGAATGATCACAACTAGGTCTTATTTTCGGGGTAGGTCATATATTTTAGCAATTCCCAAAAATAGTACTAGGTCCTATTTTCGGGGTAGGTCTTATTTTCGGGGAAACACTGTAATAACTAAAGATCAGCATCTCCTTCCTCCTGCTGGTGATCACTCTAGTTATAACTAAAGTTCTATATAGGGGAATCAGGACCTCCTTTCTGCTGCTGGTGACACCTCTAGTGTTAAGTAAAGATCTCTATAGTGGACTCAGGACCTCCTTCCTCCTGCTAGTGATCCCTCCAGTGATAACTAAAGGTGAATGCTGAGGCATCAGGACCTCCTTCCTCCTGCTGGTGATCCCTCTAGTGTTAAGTAAAGATCTCTATAGTGGAATCAGGACCTCCTTCCTCCTGCTAGTGATCCCTCTAGTGATAACTAAAGGTGAATGCTGAGGCATCAGGACCTCTTTCCTCCTGCTGGTGATCCCTCTAGTGATAAGTAAAGATCTATATATTGGAATCAGGACCTCCTTCCTCCTGCTTGTGATCCCTCGAGTGATAAGTAACGATTTATATAGTAGAATCAGAACCTCCTTCCTCTTCACTTTGCCCACTGCCGGGCTACACTGTTTGCTTATTCTATTTATCTTTTTCTTTCTTTCTCTTTTTCTCTCTCTCCCTTTCAAGACATACTTTAGACCATACTGTAAAATAACTAACGTCCTGTTTCTGATTCGCCTATTTAAGTACCAACTTCCTTCATTGTAAGTTCTGAAGTAAATTGGTTGCACAAAGAGTGCCTTCCCAGGCACAATAATATCATGTATCATTTTTTTCTTTTCAGGCTTTGCTAAGTTTTAAAGGAAACAGCTTTGAGGAGACAGCAGAACAAAGGAGATTGGCAGGCCAGCTGCTTTTGGGGAGAGAGAGAGAGAAAAGAAAAAGAGAGGGGGTGAAAAAAAAGCTTCCTGCTCCTTTAAATCAGCTCATCTGTGTGGCTGGGGCAGGGAAGTCTTTTTGGCTGTGTGAGGCAGTCTGCTTGTAACAGGCGGCTTGCTGACTGATCTCACTAACAGGGCTTCTGTGTAAGCTGAGGCTAAACAAACACAGATGGAGCCCTGTGTGCCTTCCCCAAAAATGTTGGCAATGCGGCAGGGACATCAAATGACACTCTGACTGCACAGCACACAGTCCTACCATGCCGGGCGAGGAGACCTGACCGGTCTGGGAAGCTTGCAATTTTAATCTCTTCAGTTAGCCAATAAAAGGTATCACTTAAACTCCCTGAGCAGCAACGAAGGACGCTGTCCATCTCTGCTTGGCCGCTGTCTGCTCCCAGACATCATGAGGAACATCCAGATCCTAGAGGAACCCCAGTGGAAGGGCCACTGTATCAAGGACATCTCTGGTCTCAAGAGGCTGAAGAGGAAGAGCAGGGAGGTCATCAAGCCACTGAATGGCTACCAAACTTTTAAAGTGGACTTGAAAGTGGATACCGGCTTAACGGGGGCTGCTCAGCCAAGACCCCCTCTCCACGGTGCCGAGCTGATGGACATGGCAGGGGAAGGGGGAACGGAGGATGCTCTGGATTTGAGTAGTGTGGCTGCCCATGCAAAAAAGGGGCTACCGGCGCCCGGGAGCCTGGAGGCGAATCCCTATGGGGATCAGAGGCTGCAGCCCAGGATTGTGGTGTGCCAGCGACCCCCGGAGACCTCCTACCTGTCAGTCTCCCAAGTCACTTACAACAACAACAGCAGCCCAGACCCCTGCTCATCGCCTAGGAAACGGCTGGGGGAGCCAGAAGGCGTCTGTACGGAGATCAAAGCCATCCAGCAGACAAGGAGGCTGCTGGCTAATGCCAGGGAGAGAACCAGAGTGCACACCATCAGTGCAGCCTTTGAGGCTCTCAGGAAGCAGGTACAGAGCTCCTTGTGTCCCCATTTCTAGCTCCTTATGACATTACAGTGCGCACACACCGTCAATGAGCTGGGTGTGAGCGCACATGTCACATCGTCAGCCCCAGGGCTTATTTAATAACACAACGCAAAGAGCAATCAGAGAGTCCATGTACGGCATTAGTAATAGCAAGGTGCAAAAAAAAAAAAGCTGTCCTAGAATACTGATGGCAGGTAAGGCAACGGTGATGCCCAAAGTGCAGTAAACCATGATGACCAATCAGATTTGGCCTTTTATCTGATTAGAGCAAAGGTGATTTCTGATTGGCTAACATGGACTGTTACATCTTAGATTGTACTAGATTTAATTGAATTATTATTTGTTTAATTCTATTATTATTATTATTTGTATTCATATACTTAATATTATTGTAATTATTTATTTTAATTAATGAATTTATTTATTTA